GAAGTAGTTTCCAAATCACCTCTCCATCGACGCTGTCAAAGGCCTTTTCAAAGTCGATGAAGTTGAGATAGAGAGGTGACTGCCACTTTAAGCTTTGCTCAATGATGATCCGTAATGTGGCGATCTGGTCAATGCATGATTTGTTTCTCCTGAATCAAGCCTGTTCTGGTCGAAGTTTTTCATCCAGGCCATGTTTGATTCTCTCCAGGATGATGCGGCTTAGTATTTTGCTTGGGACGGACAGGAGCATAATTCCATGCCAGTTCTTGCATTGACTTAAGTTTCCTTTCTTTGGTAGTTTGAATAAGTATCCTTTCTTCCAATCCTCGGGTACTTTGCCTTCTTTCCACAACTTCTCCAGTAGTGGCGTCATCAAGTCTGCTGTTGTCTCTGGGTCCATTTTCAACGCTTCTGCTGGGATTCCATCTGGTCCTGCTGCTTTTCCAGCTTTTAGCATCTTGATTGATTTCAGGACTTCTGAGTCTGCTACAGTTCATACATGCGATTTATTTTGTAAATGGTATTAATTTTATCTTCTTTTTCTGTTGGATGGGTATTTTGGTTTGGACAATGTCAAATGAAGTGATTGTGCTGGCTGGCTGGCTTATGTGCCTTATCTATTTCAAACGGTTTCAGTATTTTAGCTGTTATTTCAGAGATAGTTCGTTTTATATATGTTAGGATGAATTTTCTTGTAGTCTTTGATGATGGTTTCTTGTTGGTGTTGTGACTCCATTTCAAACATTTTTTTGATGACACTGTGAGGAGGATATCCATTCTTTTTGAAGACAGTGTTAGTAGGTATTTTTCTTCCATTTCTTTTCAACGCTGTTGTAAACAGCTGACAAGAGAGATACTGACGACATAAAATGAAACCTGATCCATAAGTAGGTAGTGGTTTCTTGAAAATATTCAATTAATTTTTAGATCAAAAGAAGATGGTGTTTTTGAGAGAGGAAATAGTTGTTTTCGATAACATCTTCCCTAGGCTATACAAGGCTGCCTACTATCGCCAATGATTTTTCTGATTGCAGTAGACTGGATAATGCGACAAACAGCGAGCAATGAGGAGACAGGCATAAAATGGACTCATACAAAAAACTTGGAGGATCTGGACTTCGCCGATGATATATGTGTCTGATTTCCTACAAACTGGAAGATATGCAAGCGAAAAGTAACAAGTTGGCGATAGAAAAAGCATCCAGAGAAGTTAGGCCTTAGGCTGAACAAAGATAAAACAGAGGTGATGAAGATTCCTGGGCAAGAACAACAACAACAGACAACGATCAGTATAAATGGGAGGAACATGAAAGAAACAACCTCCTTCATCTACCTACCTGGGAAGCATCGTCTCAACTACAGGCCCACGGAACTGACGACGATATCAAAGCAAGAATCGGAAAAGCAAGACAAGCTTTCACTACTCTCAAGTCTGTGTGGAGGTCAACAACACTCAGCATCAAAAATAAGATCCGGATTTTCAACTCCAATGTGAAGTCAGTCAGTGCTAATATACGGATCAGAGACTTGGCGCGTCATAAAGAGCATCTCATTAAACTACAGATCTTCGTCAACAGCTGCCTTCACTCAATACTCACGATCAGATGGCCGGCCAGAAAAGATCAGCAGCATGGAGGGATCTCTGCGAGCGAACCAACCAGGAACCGATAGTGAAAGAAATAGGCAGGAATAAATGGAGGTGGATTGGCTGGCCATACTCTGAGGAAACCATGAAGTGTGTGATATCACTAGACAAGCCATTGCTCGAGTGGAACCCGAAAGGGAAGCGGCGAGTTGGTCGTCAATGCAAGGGTGACTTGGAGAAGGTCATGTGAAGAGGAGATGAAAACGTGTGGACAGACTTGGAGCCAGGTGAAGAGTCTAGCAGAGAACCGAACGCAATGGAGACGTTTGGCTGAATCCCTATGTTCCTCTAGGAATTAAAGGATACAATAATAATAGGCTGTACAGTTATAAATTCATGAATCCATCAGAATACAAATAGCATAACCAGCCAATAAAGCCACGTGAAAATTATATCAGAAACTGTAGTATTGGGGTACAATGTATGAGATGGAATGATACGTCGTTAATTAACATTGTCAACTGAATTTATATCAAATGTACAGTCGGTCATTCAGAACATGAGATAAAAATATGTGAATCGACAATTAGATGACATATATTAATGTTGTATTTATAGTGAACAGAACGTTAGTTTCATTTGGGGGTCGGGGGGGGAGGAGGGTGATGAGTATGGTGGAGGTATGTGTAGATGACATATTCACTGTACTTAGAAAACAGGATATAATAAATAGATTTTTCGAACACAATAACTCAAAGGTGGAGGCAATTCAATTCACTTATGCATTGGAAAGTCAGGAAGGGGAGCTTCCAATGTTAGATTTTAGCGTAAAAAGGAAAGAAGATGGGAAGTTAAACACACTAGTGTGTACAGGAAACCCACACATTCAAACAGATATTTGGACTTCAGATCATCCCATCCTATGTCACTGAAAATAGGATTGGTGAAATGTTTAAATGACAGAGCACAGAAACTATGTCATACCAAGAAAAATCTAAGACAGGAAGTGATGCACATAAAAGAAGCTTTGAAACTTAATTGATGATTACCCTGGTAAATTAGTCAGGAAATGTAAAAATAAAATAAATAATGATAGTAGCGACAGTGATAATAATAATATTAATGACGACACCGACCAACAATAAGGAATCTAAATCATCAGTAGTAATTCCATACAAGGAAGGAACCTCGGAAACCACCTTACTCAGAATTCGTAACAAAGTAGGAATAAAAATGGCTGGCATTGAAACCCACAAACTGAATTAGAAACAAGCTTTGTCGGTTAAAGGGTCATCCTGTGGAGCCAATTAAACAAAACAATTTAGTTTATCTAATACCCTGCGTGCAATGATTGTCAGGTCGAGTACATAGGTCAAAATAGTAGAACAAGAGCAGTCAGACTAGACGAACATAAAAACCTAGCAAAATCTAGATTGGTTGACCCAAATAAGATAAGAAACCTAGAGAATAGTTCGGCTATAGCACCCAATACATGCAGTTACACACAACCATACAATAGGATGGATGGGATAGGATGACAGTTTTAAAATCTAATGTCACAGGGTGGAGGGAGGGATTGAAAACAGAAGCTTTGTTTATCGAATCAACTGCAAATACATGTAATAGGAATGATTCGACACCTGTCCACCCAGATATCTGGAAAATTCTAATACCCCTACGACGACAAATAGGAGAGAACAAAGAAAACTATAAAACTCAAGTTTCAAAGTCGTGTGATTATAATTGATTGATATGATTATGAGCCACAATAAATTTTGCTCAAGATGTCATCCAGTAAATAATAATAATAGTGTTTCACTCACTGTGTGTGATATATCTAATAAACAAACTAATATGGATGGAATGATGAGTTATATTCAGTGGTGTGAGAGAAATATGATTACCAAAAAACACATAGAACCACTTAATATAAGGGTGATGATAGTGTAAAATAAACTACGTTGGAAGGAATAAGAAAGGCAACAATATGACATGAAAATATGGATGATAACGTCCCTTCTGACCACCTTATAGTAACCCTGGGTAAACAAACAGGATGAATTTGCTGCTTTCGCATACTTAGATCAGGTTTCTTCTTATGAATCTCCATAGTTTTAGAGTGTGTCACTCGGGAATCACACCAAGGCGATGTGCGTAGTTGGCGAGCATTTAAAACACTGAACTACCGGCGCCTATTTGACTCACAATGGTGTATCCATTCTAAACTTATTGAGCCAGCGTTACACAATGCAATACTGACTAATTCATTAAAAATTTTATTTGAAACTAAAGCCTAAAGTTTAAGAACGTTTGGATGAATATTCTACTGCAACCTCAATAAATGATATGTACACTGAAATTGCCTTTTAGATCATCAAACCATTGGGAGTGAAAGTACTAACGGGTCCCAAAGTTGCGTTACTTCGGTGATCGGACGAAAACCGGTGTTTTCAACGCGGTATAATCGCCGTCGAGAGAAACTCCAAAGGCTTACGTTGAAGCGGATACCGTCGAATGATATCTGGCTCCATACTGGTCAGCCAGAAAGATTTAGCAACAAAAAACTCTGCCTGGCTGGCTGGCGACGAACTAACCGAAAGCCGACTCCTCAACAAAATATGTAGGAGAAAATGGAGATGGACGGAGGACACGCCACTGAGTAAGCCATCGAATGACATTGTGCGCGCAGTGCAGGCCATGGCTTGAGTGGAATCCCAATCGTGGGTCGTCAGTGAGAGGGTGACTTGGAGGAGATCGCGTGTCAAGGAGGAGGAGGAGGAGGAGAGGACCAGAGATTATGGGTAGTCGTGGACCCAGTTGAAGAGGATAGCAGAGAACAGACCAAAGTGGAGATATGTTGTTGATACCCTGTGTTCCACTCGGAACCCAAGGGAATAATAATAATACACTGAAAGTAGAAATACCTTGAAAGCACTCAGTTGAAAAGAAGGTCAGAAATAATGTGGACATTAAAAGGGAACTGTGCATAATCTCTTAACTTCTGAGCGAGATAAACCACATGGTCATTAGAAAAGGCACTAAACAGTGCTGAATGCATACGGCGGGTTCGAATATATATATGTACAAAGTATTAATCTTCCAAAAACCCATTTGAAGTTTATCAGTCAAACGACGTGCGTCGATGATTTAGTTGTAGAATCCTCGTCCTCTAACCCCACACATGGTCCAAGGTTCGATTCCTGGCCGGCGCAATCCTGAACTTCCCTTAGCCGATAGTGAGCGTGGTAAATAGGGAAAAGATTAGGCGCAAAGCTAGTAACCTCACTCCGTAAAAAACGATACTGGAAATTCAAGGCGTGTAACTTGTAACGTAAAGGAATGAAGAAAACATCAAAAAAAATATCAAGAACTAGTATCAATGAAAAAAACGACGACACTTTTAAAGCATACTCACTTTATTTCTTTGATTATTCTCTGAACTGTCTGACATTTGAAGACGATTAAGTTCATTAGCTTCTGATCCCTGTAAAGTAATTAAAATAACTTATTTTTTCACTCTGTACCAGACAGAATACATATATTGAATTAACAAAACTGGCCAAGTTAAAATTTAAGCATTACTAACTAACTACCAATGGACTGTGGCCACACAAATGACCTTGAAACGCTTACTGAGCAAATTTGTGAAACCTGACAAATAAATAATGTTGTCATCATCAATAAAATATGCTCATCGAAGTGTTATGCTATCAAATGGGATATCTGGCAAGTTTCAGATTGGGTTTGGGAAAGATTAAGTTACGCTTTAAGCCAAGGACAAGTTAGCGTTAAGTTAACCTAATAAAGGTGACATTAGGGTGTTGGTGCAAGTTAGATTACAGTTAGTTTTGGAGATATTTTCACTTTAGGGTTAGGTTCAGGAGAGATTAGGGTTATTGTTAGGTTTAGAAGATCTAAATAATTACATGCATCGAATGTGGTTAAATTACTCTGTTGATATAAGAATAGAACTTGTGCACTGTGGCGGCTGAGTGTAATTCCATTGTGGGTAAAATTTATTTTGATAAAGTCTCACGGTGTTACACAGTAATATTTACTGATGACCCCGTTTCGAGCACAATTTGTTGCTCAGTAAATATTACTGTATAACACTGTGAGACTTCATCAAAATAAATTTTACGCATAATGGAATTATACTCTGTTGATACTCCAACCTAAAACTGAGAGCTACTTTTCATCATATGTGAGAGAAAGGTATCCTGTGTAACACTTTTATAAAGTTTTTATGCAGTTTTCCATAAATATATGTATTCTATACACAAAAATGCCTCCTTCACGTGATTGGTGCGTTCGAGGTCATGAAATTAATAAAGGGTTAAGAGGGGGGGAAATAGACAAGTTAGGTCAAGTTAAAAGGATATATTGAAGATCAAAATAACAATGAAGATCACTAAACCAAATAGCAGAGTTAATAGTACATCTGCTATGGTATCAAAACAAAACAAAGTTTACCAAGGAAGGTTTGGTGTGATGACGAATTGTTACTTTGAAAGCATAAAGGTGGTTTATACTTCCTAATTGCCAGCTAGGGCTTCTAGAAATTTTTGGATACGCCCTAAACACGTTTTATGGATGGATAGGTTTAAAAGATGTGTTAACGTCAATTTTATGTCCTCTCCCATCTATAATATGTTTTGCAATAGAGGAGCTAGGTCTCCTGTTCTCACCATTAATGGGTTCTGAAGATTCTATTTGTTTCTGGAACCATTTAGGAATATGCTCTGAAGCCGGACCTTACTTGCAAAGATCGATGAATCCTCTCTATGTAAGTGTGGCTACACGTACATTCAAATTGGTAAATACAGTGGGATGTGACATCATTTTTCGCATGTTCGAAGGGCTTAGTTGGATACATCGGCTTCACATTCAAATATGATGTGAAGACCTTATACGTCAACTATAGGATAAAGAAAGGTGAGCGAACCAATGAGATTTCGTAGCAAGTTTCATTGACTGAGGTGGCTAGGGTATGTCTGAGTCACACTCACTTTCATTGCCTTACTCGATGACCAATCACGCGCCTAAAGTCGGATTCCGTCACAAAACAGTCTTCCAGTGATCAGATAACAAAATATCGAGTCACTTCATGAAGTCGTTAACTATTATTTGTGGCCACATAGAAGTATAGCTCGCCTAAGTGAAGTCATTAGAAGACTGCCAGTCAACAGACAGAGACTCTTAGTGACATAGCTTACAGTGCCACAGATGTATTAACTTATCATAGAAAATCCAAGCACATTCACTATCACCTGTTAAAACAATGTTTCGCTACACAGCATGGTTGGCTCGACTGACAGAAAATGTCTCTTCACTTTCTCATAGTATGAAGGTTTGTGCACACAGAAAACCAACAAATACAAGACAAGGATAAGTTCAGTCTGACGATCTTACTGAATATCCATTCAAAACAAGTAATCTCACTGCCAAACGCTACGCGTTAGTCGTCCTAAACATGTCTGGCACTATCTCTATTCCACTGAAAAAAAATCGGTATATTATCTCCAAATTTTTCAGAATATTGTCAGGAAGCCTCAGTGGATTATTAACTGCTTCCTGCAAACTAAGCGATACAGGAATGTGATCAGAAAATACTCCAGTCGCAGTAGCACCAGTAGAATCCGACGAGCTGGGTAACAGAAGGCAACATAAAGTAGGTTACTTCATGAGGAAACCGAAAGCTTGTCGGCAGTGATGCATCCGACTGAAAGTGAAGTCAGAGAATAGAGTGTGATCTAGGTGTGTCTCTGAAGCCTTTTTTTCCACTCTAAACACAAGGAGTGAATTACGTGGACACTGATGATCAGGGGATGTTCTGTTGTTTTAGGAATATCTTCTTATACACCTGTGAAATGTGGGCATTAACAAATAACATTTAACACAACACTTACAATAAAAACAAATGTGAACCACGTAAGTGGGCATTCCTGATGAATATCCCTGGTTGTCATCACCTTGGAAAGATGTTTTTCTTACCATTGTGGTATGACAGGACTTACAGGAGTATTCATTTCAACCAGCAAAGATCATTGGGTCATTGTGACTTGGAAGTTCGACCCCCACACATGAGATGAGTGTAAATGAATCAATGTTCGACATGTGAATCCTCGCTGTCAAATATACACTGACTGGCGCTGCAGGACTGCTTTCCAAAGACTCCTAGTTTAAAGATAGACTGTGACATAGTTCAGTATGTTGACTTTCTTTTGGTTCTTTTACGTTCCCCGTGGAACATAGGGGGCTTCAAGCTAGAGGCGTGAATTTTAGGCAGCTGTGATGTTTATTTTTACAGGATGGAGTTGCTAGCCTCATCCCCCACCTCCCCTCTTTATCAGTTTCATTACTGGCTTAACGAGGTAAAGGAGTGAGTTGGTGGCCGGAGATCGAACCCGTGACCACATGCGTGGTTGGTGAGTATGTAGACTACTTCACCTATTTTGGGGACTTGTGTCAGTCCCCTAATCGACTGATGACTGACGAAATCTCAACATGGATACAAGAGACTTGTGTAAAGTAGACGTCATATCCAACTATGGAAAAAAAGATACCGTGCAGCACTTCCTTCTGTGCTTCTTTAAGCCAGTGAAACAACCGTTGAAAGTAGAAGAAGAATAGCTATTTTCGCTTTCTGTCTTCCCTATTAACTGGTATAACATTTTGAGAAATACTGAGGTCAGGCGGAGAGTATTATGTAAAGAAGGGACGACAGTCAGTTAGCTTTTCGAAGCTACATCAGTTGAGATGGTTACGACTGACTGACTGGCTTCAAAATAGAACTTTGCACTGATGTGCAGCAGTTCAATTCTCCACACTTCACTCAGTACACAAAACAAGAGCAGAAAGTAAAAAGAAATGCGAAATAGAGACAGTAAACAGGGAGATAAGGTAAAACGAATGGAAATATCAAAGAACCATATACTTTTATTGGGTATTATAAGTCACAAGGAGTAGATGTGTCTGCACTATTGAGAAAGATTTTCAACCATATCACCGATTGTCTTCAGCCTTCATTAGCTTTTACCATCGCGAGGACCCCAACCAGGAAGTATACACCTCCCTACGTGGCTGACTGGCTGGCTTAAACTAACTGTTGTGGATTTCATTGACTGGTGAAGCCACGGTTTCGTTTGACCACCACCAGCTAACTCTTTTCCAACCTGAACCTATGTCAGCTAACATTGCCCGTCGAGGAAGGCGGTGGTTAGGCTGGGCATACGTAACACATGTCCTAACCATCTCAATCGGTGTAACTTCACAGTCTCGTTGATTGATTTCTTCTCCTTACCCAGCACTCACTGGACGCCTAACCTCAATACTGGTTATGAGGTTTACGATGATTACGACAAATGTTGCGCATCCGAAGCCCTCACTTTCCTTGATTAGAAATGTTATATAATATAGGATTAGTTTGGGAAAGAGTTAGGAGTGATTAAATCAAAATCTCGGGTCATTGACAGTAAGTTTAAGCTACACAGGGAGGTGTAGACCACTCGATTGGGATCCTCCAGAGTCTAGGAAGTAATGTTTTTAAAGACTATTGGTGATACGATTTAAAATTGTTCTCAGTGGCGAAGATATACATTCACTCTTTATGATTTGCAGTAATCCATTAAACCCTCGTGTCTTTTCAAGTTCTTCTTCTTTCACCTTCACATTTCTTGGACACTTGAACTGGTGCACTTTTATGTTTTAATAATAATAATAATAATTTGCTTTATTCCAAAACAGTACTTGTGATACAGAATGGAATTCTCAGTATTTTTACTACAGTATTGCATCCAGTTAGTACATTATCAATAAATAAAAATTCTACAAAGATTAAGGAAATCTCAGTTCATTATGACAACAACACATTGGCATGTCGGTAGCAAAGCCAAAGTTGAACAGAGTTTTTGAAGGTGTTAGAAAAGTAGGTGCTGTCATATATTTACTGGCGTAAGCGGAAGAAAGAAACAAAGCAGCACATAACGGAAAGAAAGAGAGAAAATAGAGAGAGAGAAAAGGAAAAGAAAGAAAGAAAATGTTGTACCTATTGATGATATGAGTTGGAAAGACGAGGTCCAGTTGTTCTACTGACTATTTAATGAATTATAGGTGTCACACCTAATGCTTTCTTCATCACACAGAACACGAGCTAAGTAGGGTATGGCTGAGTTTTTGTACTTGCTGATGAGAGCATATATTTGTGAAATTCTCCGCTGAAATTCAGTCAGTCAACCAATCAATCAGTCAGTCAAGATCAGAAATCGAAGCAAAATAGCCTTTGAAAGCAGACAATAAAAAAACCTTTCCATCGATGTTGAAACACTCAAACTAGCCTAACTTACTGATTTATCCGACAGGGAACTTTCAGGACTCAGTGAATTCGACAAACCATCACTACCACTTCCACCTCTTGTTGTAACTACTAATGATGAATTTGTCTTATGACATTCACGTCGAAGGTAAGCATGATCTGGTGGTGTCCAACTCCCGCCAGTGCCGCCAACACCGCGGACAATTGCATCAATACTATTATTATTATTATCATTGTTATCTTCACAATACTCTTGTTGACCACCACCTTTCATCACTATCATTCTTCCTTGATCATATTGACTAGTTGATCCTTGATAAGTTGTTAATGATCCACACGAACGATAACCATCGGAGCTTTTTGAACTAGCATAGGTATGATTATTATTATTAATATTATCCGTATTATTATTAGTATTATTAATTTTATTGGATTTTTCTATTTCGAGCTGATCCGTTGTCAGTGGTATCAACCTATTTGTTGTTGGATTTTGTTGGTAGTTATTAAATGGTGGTGATGGACTTGAGGATGAGTTGGGAAAATTCTTAAACTTCTCCATACCAGATTGGACAGTTAACTCTGACGGTGCTCTTGTACTTGAATTCTAGGTGAGAAAAAAGAAACAAACAAAAAACAAACGCAAAATTGAAGGGGATAGATTGAAATGGTTGAAAAACGTATTCTGGTTCTACATAAAACCTTAAGGCTTAATAATCACTCATTACCAAATTCAAATTCGATCAGGAATTAACTGATCTCAGGTTAGAGAATCATTGAAAACCAACTCTGAGTACTGGTCAATTGTTACGTCCTAGTTTGGGACTCTTTTATGCAGTATACACTCGCATTCATTACCCCACTGCCAGGGATTGAACTTCAAGTAACTAGAGGTTACAAGACGAGTTCATTGATCATGGAATTCAGTGACCCGTCCATGAATACTAACTTCTACTGATCACTGAAACTGACTACATGATGAAATCGTCTGAAATTCTATTTTTAGACGTTGCGAGGGACATATACTCTCCAGTGAGTGCGTACTGCCGATGATTCCCAAACTAGGATGAAACAGCAGCTGTCCAGTACTCCCTGGTTTTCAATGGTTCTCTAACTGATATCAGTCCGTGATCAACTCGTAAAATCATAACAAACCCTTACAAACCAAACTTTAGAAAACTCTCCAACAATATTTGTCTAAACATTTGTAAAAAATTATATTTGTAAAATCTCAGCGAGATTGAAATGAGTAATTCCAACGTTTCCGGTCTTTAGCAGTCTGGTCCGAATTTCTTGAGGGAAATTAATCGAAATTAACATAACAGAAGTTTGTATATAAAAGGAACATCACTTGTTTCTGAAAACTTCGTCCAATCATGAATCATAAAACAGGTATCAACAAGTATAGTAAACAAACGACATTGTATGAACTGTGATCAAAATTTGACCCCGGACTTACAAATATTGGTCTACCTTCGTTAAACACTTTAAACAGAGTGTGTATGTGTGTGTGGGTAAACAGTTGTAAAACATTTCTTAGCGTCTCCATAAGAAGCAATGGACAGTCGAGAATTTTGACCGAGTATTAATAATTAGTGATACATATCCATTTTTTATTTATTAATCAGGATTTCCTATGCATCAGCTAACATCACGCCTTCATGTCTGTTCAAACTGCTAGTATCTAGAATTTTATGACTAGACGTATTTTCAAAATTATGGTGTTTAGGATTAGAGTTCAGTAGAAGCACCCTATCGAACTGATTGCTTTGTCTTCTTTCTGAATATTGACCTGCTTTATTCTACCTACTGGAGAGTTGTCAGGTGACTCGACAGCTACGGATTTAGGATATGCATTATTCTGTTGCAGACAACGGAGAGTGAAAACACTCATCCCTCATTACCAAATTCAAATTTGATCAGGAATTAAATGATCTCAGGTTAGAGAATCATTGAAAACCAACTCTGAGTACTGGTTAAATGTTTCGTCCTAGTTTGGGACTCTTTTATCTAGTACACACACGCATTTATTATCCTACTACCAGGGATTGAACTTCAAGTACCTAGAGGTTACAAGGAGAGTTAATTTCTCATTCATAGACACTAAAATGGAATCCAGGGACAGACCCATGAATTCTGACTTTTACTAATCACTAAAACTGACTACAGGATGAAATCGTCTGAAATTCTATTTTTAGACGTTGCGAGGGACAAATACTCTCCAACAATATTTGTCTAAACATTTGTAAAACATTATATTTGTAAAATCTCAGCGAGATTGAAATGAGTAATTCCAACGTTTCCTGTTGGCATATAATGACTGTGTAAAGTAAAAAAGGTAGACAAGGTGCGCCGGTGGCACAGTGGTTAGGATGCTCGCCAACCATGCACATGGTCTGAAGTTCGATCCCCTGCCGACGCACACCCAATATCTATGGTCGGCCTGCTAAATTTGGGCTACCGATATCACATGCTGAAAATTCCATACCTGTTACAAAAATACTGTGTGGTTTCAAGCTATAACCAAAAAAATAAAAATAAAAAATATTTTCAAAATTATGGTGTTTAGGATTGGAGTTTAGTAGAAGCACCCTGTCGGACTTATTGCTTTGCCTTCTTTCTGAACACTGAACTGCTTTATTCGACCTACTGGAGTTGTTAGGTGACTCAACAGCTACGGATTTAGGATATGCATTCTGTTGCAGCCAACGGAGAGTGAAAACACGATGATTGTGCCAATTACACAGTTTCTTTGTTAATTTAATTCGATTGCAAAATAATTCAAATGAACTGTCGTCAAGATTTGACAGAATAGTTCTAAAATATTTGGGCGCCGTGTAAGAAATAGACATTTATAAAAAATTATATTTGTAAAATCTCAGCGAGATTGAAATGAGTAATCCCAACGTTTCCTGTGTTCGGCAATCTGGTCCCAACTTCTTCAGGGAAATTAATACTTAGTCAAAATTCTTGACTGTCCATTGCTTCTTATGGAGTCGTTAAGAAATGTTTTACAACTGTTTACCCACACACACATACACACTCTGTTTAAAGTGTTTAACAAAGGTAGACCAATATTTGTAGGTCCGAGGTCAAATTTTGATCACAGCTCATACAATGTCGTTTGTTTACTATACTTGTTGATACCTGTTTTATGATTCATGATTGGACGAAGTTTTCAGAAACAAGTGATGTTCCTTTTATATAGAAACTTCTGTTATGTTAATTTCGATTAATTTCCCTCAAGAAGTTCGGACCAGACTGCCGAACACAGGAAACGTTGGAATTACTCATTTCAATCTCGCTGAGACTTTACAAATATAATTTTTTACAAATGTCTACTTCACACTCGGCGCCCAATTATCTTAGAACTATTCTATCAAATCTTGACGACAGTTCATTTAAAATATTTGTCTAGTGTTCATGGTAAATATCTCGAAGTACAAAAAGTTAGAATTCATTAGCTGGTAATTTGATTATGTCTTAATGACTGAATGTCATGGAATTAGATCCCCTACGTCGGTTCATAACGAAATCTAACAAGTGAAATAAGCCATTCTTATCATGATTTATCCCTTTAAATTTCAAATGCAACATTAGGGGCTTCGTGAATACATTATCCTTTCACCATGTTTGTGTCTTCTGCTGATCTTAAAGGTAATTTCATCGTTTCTAACACAAGAAATCATTTCCTCTTCACATGATTTCTTCTGTGTTCGTCTCCCACTGACCTGCACCAAAACGTGTCTCAGCTTTTTCATTCGGTCTCCACTCCACGGTCTCCTTATGCGTTTGTCCAATCAATCTTAGGTATTGAGACAGTGAATGCAACTGCTGAGATGAATGTCTACACAGTAGCCTGTCTCGAGTCCAGAAAAAGTGAGAAGTTTTCATTAGTCTGTTTGTAGGGATTTGATTTGTTTCACTAAAAACCAAGGAGTACTAGACAGCTGTTTCGTCCTACCTTGGGACTCATCATCAGAACGCGCACCCACTGAGTTTCAAAACAAATAAAAATTCCCTACGACAAACACAATCATTAGAACTAATCTGATGCTCGCTAGTGACTTATGAAGTTGCCTGGAGTGGGTTCTAGTGCGAAGTCTTGACCAATGGATTCCACCAAGTGGTGGAGAGTGAGGAGAAATACTCGCCAATAGTGACATTCGCCAGTGCCAGTTGCTCTAAATATATCAAGATTTGGAAGAAGTTGAAATTCATGGGCTGGCGATTCAGGTGGGTACCAGCAGCACTGAACGATTTACGATTTTGCTTGTTTGTAACCGGAAGGTTCTGGGTTCAAGCTCTGGCAGTAGGTAGGTTACTGCTGATGGCTCCCAAACTAGGAACGAAACAGTTGGCTGTCCAGTAATCCCGGATTTTCAGTTGTTCTCTCTAACTGATATCAATCCGTGAGAAAACGTGACAAGTAGGAAGGTTGGACGTGGAGTTAGTCACCCAACCCCCCCCCCCCCAATTGAAAATCAATTCAATCACTATTAAAGCAGTTTCAAAGGGCAGAAAAAAAGTTTTCTTGTATACAGAAGAATAGTAATAATGACAATCGTGGCATACATTATTGAAAATAAATTGCCATTTTCGTTTTAAAAATCCCAAAAAAATGAAATAAAACAACGTTAAGCTCAGAAAAGATATCTTGTCGGAGACTTCATCCTCAAAAGACACATATACATATAATCTCATTTCTATACACATTTTCGCATAGTTACAATTATTTTATTTAATTCAATAGTGTTTCCGACTTCTTTGTACTTCAAAATCTCGCGCCAGATGCACTGACAGACTGGAGGTACGTGTGTGTTCAAGAGAAACTGTAGTCCAACCTCTACGTGTCTATTAAGAATCTAGTTCTATTGGGCTCCGATTAATCGTCGTTTTTCCTTCATTCCCTCTACCTTCTTTTCATTTTTCATGATATAAAAAGAACTGTTATTTCAATAGTATGTTTCTACGCAAATCTCGTTCACACCTGTCGTCATTTTGTAAACGACGATCATTATTTCACATATTATGCAACTATTTTCTAATCTTATATAATTATCCTTCATTACCCTCTCCTTTCTGATCTGTATTCATCATTAACACCTTTAAAACGTTTATATCCAATTGAAAATTAGTATCACCTTTAGTCTCCCCTTGTTACTACTACGTTAAACTAAAGAATAATAGTAATTATTATTACTATTTAATTCAATTTTAGATTTTCCCATCGATTGATTGAACCCCGGAAGTGCTTGGTCTCAGGTTGACATGTCGGCTTCTTGTGCAGATGCTTCGACGACGTCTGCTGGGCATGTAGTTAGAAGTTAATAAGTGGATGGTGACTAGCACAGGGAATCCAATCAAGATGCGCATTTCGTCCTGTTCGGGACTCGTCCATCAGCTGGATGTACCTGCATTCCTCAATGAGTGATGGTAGACAGGAAAATCTAGATTTGAATTAAATAATCATTATGACCCGTTGTACAAGAGGTGGCCATCTCTCGTGGCCCAAGTGGTCTAGTGGATAACGCCTTGGCTGGCGTTTGAAACTATGGGTATTGGGTTCGAGCCTTGGTGGGAACATCATCGCTCACCCACTGGGGA